GTAAGTTTTTCGAAGCCGATCTTTGAACAAAAAATGAAGTTTTTTTTTTCTCTTTCTTTCAGCACAGTATCTCGATCGGGCTCAACTGTTTTCTAATGAGTACTTTGATCAATTTGGAGGGTAAGTTTTCTTTTTTCTTCAAAATGTTATTCCTACGAAATTTGGCAACCTTTAAAAAATTAGTACCATTGAAAAAGAAACATATTCTTTGACGTTGTGAGTGTGAAGACAGGATTCATACTCATACTTATACCAACACCCACATCCACATCCTCAAGATTGATGCACAGGATAGAAAAATAGCAGATAAAATGTTGGTAATGAATCATATTCATAGATCTCATGAGTCGTCATACCTCCCAGTTAGATGTTCTTATCAATGAAAAATAACTCACTGTTTATCTCAAATAGTGTGCATTCTATTTTATATTACATTGCATCAAGTCAAAGGGGAAGAATAATTGAGTCTATAGAGATTTTGTTTGGATTACAAATATCTAAGTATGTATCGCTTTATATTGCTTCTTGTATTAGGTTTCATATTTGTATCTTCGGTTGTCATCGAATAGAATTTAGATGTCTTTATAGTATAAACCCGTTGTTCTATGACTGAGAAAATTGATTGAATGTCATTATTCATTTTAGATCTTATCTAGAACAACACACAATAACATGAATCACTTCGGTGACATCTTACGACAGTTAGTTAATATTCGTCATTGTCATTAAATTCCTATGCTTTATTTTTAGATCATCGGATCTCTTACAGAAAGAAGAAACCCTAACAATCGATGATACACCTACCAGACTCGAAGATCTTCCCAATGAGCTTTGGCTCGAGATAATATATTATCTGAATGTGTAACATATTTACCGAGCGCTTTTCAGACTCAACCAACGAATTGATGGTATTTTACGCTCGCTCAACCATCTTGCCTTTACTGTCCCTCAAACTTTAAGCGGCTGTGACCAGTCGATAAAATTTTTTGGCGATTGCATCGATAAATTGCGATTAACCTGTGTTGAGCAGAATGACACTTATCTGACTAGTTTCCTACATATTCGCTCGTTACATATCGTATGTGCATCCAACCATGAAGTTTATTCCATTCTGAGTAGGTTTCATCAGTGAGTATCACTCAATATTTGTTTTACATTAATTGCATTGTTTTCTCTCAAATCTATACTAGTAAACAAGATATTCTCCAATGGCTTTCCACGACTCGAAAAATGCATTCTTCCATGCATGGTTCGGGAAATAACATCAAGCAAGCTTTCTACTAGTATCCGTTCTTTAAGTATTATGAGCTGCCAGTCACTCATCTATGCGAATGTTCTCCGTTGCTGCCCTAATCTTGCTCGTCTTTCAATTGGGATCAACTCGTTAAAGAATATACCGATTATAGATCCTTTGATTCCTTTTAATCATCAACTCAAGTTTCTGATGATTACCATTCCAGATTGGTCCGATGCTTCATCTGTAAAAAAATTTCTACGTTATGTATCCGCCCTTGAACAACTGTCTCTTCAAAGTTATTCACGAACGGCCATTAACTTTGTTGAAATAGCGGATATTCTACTTGAATGCGTGCCTCGATTGCAACGGTTTCGATGTGATTTCGTAATGATTAATAGAAATCCAGTGCAAATGGGTAACATCCGCCAGCTACATCCGTGTTTTGCAAGCATGAAATATGTTGATCGTTTTCATGATCATGTACGAATTATCACCAGCAAAAACTGCCATCTCACGGAAATAAATTGAAGTTCAAGTCTATCGAAAAGAACAATAAATGAACTTTCTGTTTGGATATGAATTTTCTACGAATTGAAAACACGATTTGTATTTCATTTTATCGATGTTTTCCTAAAATAAGGAAGTATCACATGAAAGTTTCATTCATGCTCATTCGTAAGAAAAGTATCCTATTGGATTACCAATAACATCAAGCATAATTCATGTCATCTAGTATTGTGTTTCGAAAAGAATCATCGACGATGATCGAATGAGTTTAACTTGATAATATTACAGCGTCGAAATAACAAGTGTCAGCTAAAGTTACCAAGAATATGAATGCGATTCTTTTGCTCATCCACATTGGTATTGCGGTTCCACCGTCTTTAGCGAGAAAATCTCTCAAGTTTTGCCATTTTCTGCCGAGCTGTTGCAGTGAAAACATTTTCCCGATAGTCTCTTTATTCATCTGTCGGAATGGCTGATATTCGTACTAGACTGTCTAATTTTATTTCACTCGTTTAAATAATTTTGAAACTATTGTATCAGTCAAATCTCTAAAGACATCACGTTGTGACTTCGTTCTGACATATTAACAACAATATATCGATTCAATTGACATTTGAGTCTATTTATCGTCCATTTTTATTGTGCTCTTTAAGAATAATGATTCGATAAATCACTTTGGACAATAGAGGAACTTGACTAAGACGATCGACAATCTCTACTAGAGTGAGTGGAAGACAACGCTTCAAACAGAATGATGATCAGGTGGTGTATAAAAAAGGTGTCGTTCAAATGCTACGGTATGAGTTCGTTTAAAAAACGATGCAAAAACTTTTCGTTATATAGCAAATATTATTTGATAAAATGAACACTACTTCATAAACTTTAATTAAAATTCTGTCATGTTCATTGTAGAAGAGTTACGACAAAACATAAGAGAGATTATAATCGTAAATTTGCTCTTTTCTTTGATATATGAGCAGCAAGAAAGATGACAAAAGAATGAAATCTAAAAAACAATATACTCATAGCAAGGTACGTAGAGAAAAAAAATACGTGAAATCGTTATGTTCCTCTCGTGACTACTGTGATACATTCTACTAACACGCGTGTGAAGCGCAGATAAGAAGTATTAGGAGAAGAGAATACTACCATCCACACACACACCCTTGACATGAATAATAAAGATGATTCTTTTTATGAAGAGATTGTCAATAGATTCCAACAACCAAAATTGATGGAAATGCACTTAGCATTGACATTTATCGATGCACGAAACAATGCCGTATTTATCGGACTCTTTGGCCTATTGTTAGTATGATTTGGATAAAAAAAAAAGGTTTTCAGTAGGTACTATTTCAACACAGTAAAATAGAATTTTGCTTTATCGTTTACTATTGAATTAGATGGTTACTCAATAGTTGTACAAAAATTTCCAGCATACTTAACTGATCATCTTCGTGACCGTATTTTAAATTAGAATGTGTAAACCAAACAACAATGGATGTTTGTAATATATGATCCATGCACATTGATGAAGCTTTTTGAAGAACCAATAAAAATATGATTTTTATGTGTATTTATTATTCAATTTTTTTTTTCGTTCCTATCCTACATTTTGCTGATGCATGAGGCCATAGAATATAAATAAAAAGTAGTGAATTTTACAGCTCATAATTAAGAAAAAACTTGATTACTTAATAGAACAAATCATTCAAAAATTAGTCTTAACTATTCTGTGTTGGTACAATCAATTATTTGAAGAATGCAAAATTTATCAATGGATTAGTGACTAGTTGCCCGAAATTTGATATAACACTAATACATATTTTTATTAATTAGTTATTAAAAAAAATTTTTTTTTCACTGATTATAAATTCCAGATCAACTCTGCTGTTAAATGCATCGACAGTTTATATGTAAAGAAAATCATTTATCGAACACAAATTTTTAAATAATAAAATAAAAACGAATTTTTTAGGATATTCAGACACATTTTATTAAATCAGTTTTTCTTTCAGGGTAAAATTTACGCATTGAACGTATCATCCTACATTATGTAATGTAACACCACTTTCACATTTGTTTTTTTTTTTATTTAATAATTCTTTTTATTTCTCTACAAAAAATATGAAGTTTTGTTGTTGATTAGATTTTACGAAACTTAATAATCTTTTTCGTTCTTCTACGTCAGTACGTTTCTACCTTTATCGAGGCCATAAATCTTCTTTATTTATAATATATACCATGAAAAATAAACAAAGAGATCATAGCATTCTTTTGTTCACTATTCAATTTTTATTGAAATATCCAATAGGACTTGCCTTAGATGCATCACTTAATTTGTATGTTGCCGACACTGTTAATCATCGCCTACAAAAATTCCGACGTCTTCTTTAAAACTTAAAATGTTATGATTTTTTGTTTTCGTTTTTCACTTTATTGATGCATGTTGCTCCTTTGAATAAACATTGATTAGATAAGCTTTAAGGTTCAAGAAATATGGGGTGAAGTGTGGCTGTGACTGTTGTGTTGTTATAAACAGAGACACCTCACACCCACACCCTTACTGAGTAGTAATTGCAGATATAGGGTGGTTCAAAAGTAACGAAACAAAGTAAGGAAACATCGAATTCTTTCCAATTTTTTTGTTAATAGATAGATAGTCAGATCTCATATTTGAACCACATATACCATATGCTAATTGTTAGAGAAGCAACCTGGTATGAACTTTTGCTCTTAAGATTTTATTGAAAACTGCAGAAATGTTTCTTTTGTACTCTAAAATAATTATTGGAAAAGTTTAGCGTTTCTCTGTCTTATTTTGTTTCTATCTTTTAGTCTGTTGATATCAAATCTACAGGATGATTTAAATTCTATTGATTCTTACGTTGTTTTAGACTTCTTGCATAGAAAATGACTCAAAAATGGAGTACAACGGAAAGAAACCAATTGAATTCGGTCAGAAAAAAATCAAACTTCAGTGACAGTCATATAGGAGTACACGACAGACGTTCGAGTGTTTTCCAATGAAACCTTAAGAGCACCTGACTAATTGTAGGCTGCTTCTCTGAGTATTATCATATAGTATATGTGGTTCAAATATGCGATCTGCCCGTCGATCTATTAAGAAAAAAAACGAAAAGAATTCTGTGTTTCCTTACTTTTGGGTCATCCTGTACAGTGATATAAATTGTAAGCACGATCGTGTGGCTAGACCGCGAGTTCTCTTTAATAGAAAAATTCTATGTTGTTCTAGTCAATAGGAACCTCTAGGTTGATATGTTTGATGTTCATTAGAGCACACGCGGCGAGTGAATTCATCGGCACAAGCCATTCGAAGTCGTTCCACAGTAGCTGGTGAATGAAGTGTGAAATAATCTTGGAAACCTTGATCTTGTCGATAGGCCATACAAGCTTGTTTGAGTGCAAAGAAAGCTGAAGTAGCAAGTAAGATTGGTGGTTCACCAATACCCTTCGATGAATAGATAGCTCGTGGATTTGACGAGTCCGATAAAAGTGAAACGCGTAGATCAATTGGAACATCACTAAACGATGGAATTTTATATGTATCCGGTCCGCAAGTAATCAGTTCTCCTGGTTTAATCCATTTATGTTCTGTATGATCACCCCAAATGAGTTCTTCCATGGTAAACAAACCAACACCTTGCATATATGCACCTTCAATTTGACCAATATCAATAGAAGGATTCAGTGACTTGCCAACATCCTATTATAGAAAAACAGTAAAAGCTTCTCAATCGAAAACAAAACAATTCTAGTTGGGAAATTTTCAAAAGAAATATACATTCAAAACGGAAATTGGACGAAGATCATCAATTCTATTTACTAGTTCAAACAAGAAACAATTTTTCTAATATGTCAATCGACAAAAAAATACATTAGCATGAACATACCATGAGAATGTCCACACGTAATAGATGCCAGTCACCTGTCAATGTGTCCAATTCAACTTCGGTGACTGCAGCACCTTGTGTAAAATAATTGCAAGTAGCTCGATTTTGTGAAAAATCCACGTCAAACATTCCTGGTGTTGCATAGAATCCATGTGCACATAGATCGATACGAGCAAAATATGCTTGTTTGATAAGATCTTCCCATGAAATAGGGACATTTTTATCAACTAAAAGTGTATCCAATCGTTCACGAAGTTGTTCACACGCATGTCGAACAGCCATGCCATTGAGATCTGATGAAACCGAACCTCATGTTGTAGTTGTATTATGTACTTTGTCTGTTGACGTTTCACTGATACGTATTCGATTGATATTGCAACCTAAAACCTCAGCTGCTATTGATATCATCTTTATATTTAATCCTTGACCGATCTCTACACCTAAATATCGAAAATGGTTCATTTTATTTCATGGAATAGCATTCTAGATTCATATTTCTACCTCCATGACTAAGTAGCACTGAACCATCTTTATAGATCAATACAAGGGCTCCAGCCTGATTGAGAAACTGTAACATGAAGCCAATACCATATTTTGCTGGTATCATACAGAGACCACGTTTTCGATAGATATTTGTACGATTGAATTCATTGACATGTATTTGTCGTTGGAAGAAATCACTCGAGCGACTAAGTTCTTCTAAGATTCGAGGGACATTCCAGTGTTCTAATGCTTGTCCATAATGTGTCAGTTCGCCTTCTTTAAAGAGATTAAGATGACGAATCATCAATGGATCACGTTTAAGATATGAAGCAACATGTTCAACAACGTTTTCACAAGCTAACATTGCTTGTGGAGCACCAAAACCACGAAAAGCTAAAATCGTCATAGGTTACTCATACTTTCACGTAAAATTAGTTTTTCATATTCAAACCTGTATTAGATGGTAAATGTGTTTTGCAAGCATAACCACGAATTCGTATATGAGGAAATCGATAGCAATTACCCATTTGAAGCATTGCCCACTGCATGATGATGCTTGATGTATCCAAGGAACAACCGCCATTGTTCCACATTCGAATATCAAGCGCGCAGAATAGGCCTTCGTCAGTAAAACCAACTTTATATTCGATTTTGAATGGATGTCGATGTCCTGTTATAGAAATATCAGTATGACGGTCAAGAGTGAGACGAACTGGACGACCAGTTTTCACGGCAGCTACTGCGATAGCAGCACACGGGGGTATTCTAAACAAGATCATCATGGACTGTATCTGAAAACATACAACAAATAAAAATTTACGATCGTGATTCTTTGCCACCAAATGCACCACCGATTCGTTTGACGTGACACGTGATACGACTAACATCTCGGCCAAGTACTAATGCGATCAAGTCTTGAGTAGTACTCGGATTTTGTGTACCTAAGTATAAAGTTAATTCTTTATCGTCGTCTGATGGTATCACCATATAACTATTGGATTCTAGATAGAAATGTTCTTGACCACCAATCCGTAGTGTTTCTTCTAATATATGTTTGGCATCGGCAAAACCCTTATTCACGTCTCCTTGTCTAAGACACATTTCATCACCAAAATAAGATTCATTGTGAATGGCATCTTGGATTGTTAATATTGTTGGTGTTAACAATTCGTATCCGATTTGAACTAGTTTAGAGGCCACAAGAGCTTCTTGTTCAGATTCACAAACAACAACACCAATAATAGCACCAATGCATGGAGCAATTGATGATACGAAAACCTCTTCATCTAGTTCCATCACACCTATTTTATTGGAACCCGGTACATCTGAATAGCTAACAAATGACACGAAACCGGGTACTTGAGAGGCAGCTCCAATATCTACCATCATAGTGTTTACTATCAGATAAATATGCATAAATGAGAAGATTCTTACCGATATTTTTTATTTTAGCATTAGGTTGTGTACTAAGTACAAGTGCAGCATGCAATGTATTGATTAATGATGGCATATCATCGACGAAGATAGCCTTTCCAGTCGTTTGTAAATAGGCTGATTGATGTGGTAGTGAAGTACCTACGGTTTTTTGTGAAGAAGGTCGTTCAGGTATGGTCTGTTGGCCATGCGATATCGATCGATGAAAAGGACGAGCAATAGAAAGAAAGCTCGAATCGGTTGTCGATAGACGCAATTCAACACAGACATAGGCATAGAATTTGAAGAGAAATGATTGAACTAATGTTCGTCTAAATGAACAATTAAAACATCGATTTGTAATCAATGTACGTAAATACAATAATATAGTCTGTAGAAGGTAATGAGGATAGAAACATTTAATTTCTAGCTAACTAATTCTATTTGCATAGATAATTTTTGATTTCTTCTTCTATGTGTTGCTAAAACACCGAACTAATTGCTTAAGAAAGGTTTCCACAACTTCTATTTTATGTTAGGTTTAATTTCAGAGATAGAGTCTCTTCAAATTTTCCTTGTCAATATTTTCGACAAATTCGCTTCTGTCAAAAAAAAAAGTGATTTGATTTCATTTTCGCACGGTATACACAATCTATTACCTATATTCAGATTGGCCACCTGGAGTCTGCTCATCAAGTGGCAACCCTTGCAAGATTAACTTGAAGGCTTTGTTAATTGTTATTCTCGTCCAAGCTAGTCCAACTAATTGTTGTTGAGTGTTTTTTGCCATGATTGTTGTTGATGACATTCCACCAAATGACAAACAAATTGAAATAATCTGCCATTGACCATCGAGTGAATCCAATTGCTCTAGTTGAACTTGAAATCCAGCACTAACAATTCCTTTAGAATCATCTCGCCGACGTGCTTGTTTGTATGATCGAAGAAACCATTTACTCGATGGATTCGGAAGAGGAATGTGAATGGCAACAAGAACTTCATTGTCAGCCATTGATACACGACCATTGCCGAGAAAAAAATCGCGCAATGAGATGTAACGTGCTTCAGTACTATCAGCACGATGCAATTCAAGTTCAGCACCGGCCGCTTGCAATACTGGATTGATATCCGAACTAGAGAAACAAAAAAAGAAGACAAAAATAAAAATGTACAAATTCTTTCTGATTATTAATCTACATCGATGAAGCAGTGATAACATTGCCACCGAGCGAAGCAACATTTCGTATCTGTGTCGATGCAAAATATCTGAGTTGATCGAGTAGAGCTTGACAAATGCCACCATCGTTTATCTTTTCATTAGTCCATTCAATCAACTTCAACTTCAATCGTGTAAATGTGCTACCTGCACCAAGATAGAATTCATCTGCTGTTCGCTTAAGTTGTTGTAATTCTTCGATATGTGTAAGAGAAATGAGACATGTATGTTTGATTTGCTTGAATTTTCTCTCTATTTCTACTCGAGTATTGCCAAAAACAAGTTTTGATGCATCACCACGATAACTGTGACGAAGTTGAAGTAGTTCACTGAGTGATAGAGGACGATACCAATCGATTGATGAACCTATGCATAGAAAAGTCTAATGAATGCATTATTTCACTGAGATTTTACCCATAATATGAAGCGATTGAGGAATATAATGACGTAGCTTTTCGGGAAACTCTACTTGACTCAATGGCAATGAATTTTGCTTGGCAAATGAAAGACATTTATCGAATGTAGTTGATGTGAATGGTAATGATTCTTCATGAGGTAATTTGTCTATGTCGCTTGCAAATGTTTTTGCAGTATCAAGAATAGGTCGATATCCAGTACATCGACAAAGATTACCATCCAAAGCTTCTTCAATATCTTGCATAGTCGATAATTCATTATTTTTTGATGTAACAGTTCCATAGAGTGACATGACTACTCCTGGTGTACAGAAACCACATTGTGAACCGAATAATTCAACAAGACGCGATTGAATCGGATGTATATTGGACTTGTTCATTGAGCCCAATCCTTCTACAGTCACAATATGACATCCATCAACAGAGCACAGAGGTGATAAACAGGCATTCACCGTCCGATGTTCTATTTCGCCAGAACTTCGATTGATAGATTGTGAAATAAGAACGGTACATGCGCCGCAACCACCTTCACCGCAACCTAATTTAGGACCAGTAAGTTTCAGTTCTAAAAATAAAAAATCAAAATATACACACTATTTATATCTGTTTCTTATTTAGATCACCTACTATTTCTCAGATACCAAAGTAGAGTCCAGTCAGGTTCAGCATTATGCTCAATAATTTCTTTTCCATTGACATAGAACAACAGAGAGTTCATTGATTTGGACTGCGATTCTGATGTTGTATCATCTTTAGTCATACTGTTAGATTGATCATATGTGTATACAAATGTGTCCTTTTTTCTCAATTGTTAAACATAGTGCACACGTAAAAGTATAAGTGTCAATATTTACAGTAGATAACAGTAACACAATCCTGTATTCGACATGTAGCTCTTTTATGTATTGATGTGAGGTGTAGTGGTGGATATGAATGTTGGTTCGTTCTTTGTGCAGGCACACATTACATACTTCATAACCTTTATTGCATTTACCTTGACAAAATATTATGTAAACATACCATCTCTACGTGTTTCTGAAAAATACTTTCGATTGATCATTTAATCATCTATATGATTCATTATATACAATCACAACGGAATTAAATTCAAATGAAAACACGTTTTGGTACGATCAATTCCAGCAGTGAATGCTTTGCTCTTTTACATCCTTTTTCGGGGACAGATGTCGTAAATCATCTATTCATACATAGATATCGAATTTCATATTAATATTTGTTAGCAAATCATATTGTGATCTTTCTTTTGAGAAGTGTCTTTGCTGTGTTTTTTGTTGAACAATACCAAAAGTTCGAACGACTGTATCACCGATATTGAGCTTCAATATAGCCGCATATTGTCACTAATGTTATTTGTTTTACAAATCTGTCTTATTCGAGAACTTTTCACGTTAATTATTGATTGTAAGCATAAATTCATCTACATTATGTGGATAGCTTCTTTTTTTTTACTTTTGTTGATCTTACAATTGGCATTTACTGGAAGAATAGTTATCATTATTATATAGCTTGGCTTCTCTATTTTAGGAGCGCATCATTGAATCTTTTAACTGTTCATGATGTCATAGTTGTCAGAGGATATCAACGTCATGTTCACAATGATACTATTAACATGTATATACGAACCAGACACAAACAAATGAAAATGAAGTTAAATCTTGGAAAGAGTTCATTTTTCTGATCTGGTGATTGACTACTTCATTTTCGATCTGTTTATTTTCGGCTCTGTAGAATATATATACATCTGATTCTTGTCAAATTGTATCGTGTTGTATATATAAATTTTGTTTTTTCATTCTTTGTGTTGAAAAACTCAATAAACTTTGTATATATATATATATATCATGTTTTCATTTTGTTTTCCTCTTATTTATGTATTATTTCATCGATAAGATAATATTCGGCATTTTAACCTGACAAATTTGCTAACACATGATCATCAATAGTAACATTTTAATCCTTGAAAACTCGATGAGACTTTGGAAAAACTAAGAAAGAAAAACAACTTGTTTTTGAAATTTTATTTGATCAAATGTCCAAAATAGTTTCTTTGTTTATTTAGATTCGATTGCATTCATTGAAGCTATTTATCGAAATCTATTTTTTAGTTTGTAGGTCCCACGCCCTACACTACATACGAGCGTCCCATATTACGTATCTTCACAACACTCCAAACTATAATTAAATAAATATAAAGTGATAAATCATCTGATGACGCTCTGACACAGCAGAAACAATTTCTTCTATTCATCTACAAGCTCTCAAGAACCTATTTTTATACAAATGGGTAGAAAAATATTCGAAGATTCGTTGAAGATTCTACGATCATGGACATCTCTATTGAAGGACAAAGGACCAATTTGAATTAAAATGTCAGATCAAAGGCTGAGAACGAATAACAAATTAGTATATAAATGCGAAAAAACCGCGTGATATTAAACAGAGAAGCAAACAAACAGTAGTGGGTGTCATATATTTTTCTTTCTTTGAAAGTGTGTAATTTAACTTTCACATCTTTTGACTCCTATCTAACTTCACCTGTGAGAAATTTCTTTTCTATTCTCATCTTTTCTTCTTTCCTTTGACACGTGCTTTTTCTTTTCTTTTGATTCAGTTCTGTTCACTCAACAACCTGCAAAAGTGAAGTTTGCAACTTTCGCAATATTCTGACGCCATTGATTGTAAAAGGTGCAGTATTACTTCTTCAAATTACACAATTTGACAAAGGCCTTTGTTTATCAGATCATGGTCGACTTTATTTTCATCAATGGTTCTCCCGGTACTGGCAAATCCTCTGTTTGTGAACTCATTCAGCAGAATAAATCATGGCCTTCAATTGACTTTGGCTGTCTCCGTGTGTTTCATTTGGATCGAGAATGGTCAAACGTCTCAGCTGACGAAGAACAAATGTCGTTTGAAAACTTAGTATTCATTCTAAAGAATTATTATCGCTATGGATATAAGAACGTCCTAATTAATGATCTGACAGATACGAAAATAGAGCAATTACCAAACTATTTATCGCACGACGAATTCAAATATCTAATTGTGACTCTGATTGTGAATGACGATGAAATTTTGAAACAACGTGTTCTGGAACCGACGCGAGATAGTGGTTTTCGTAATTTCAAACGTTCAATTGAATGGAATGGAATTTTGAAAACCAGAGAATTGTATAGAAATGAAGTTAGGTTGGATAATACAAAGATGACAGTGAAGGAAACAGCTGATCGAATTTTGGAGATTGTAGATGAATTTCTACAAAACAATTAGATAAAAAGACGATTTCAAAACTTCTACGGATAACTACCGAACGCAATTCATTTTGATTTTACGTCAAAATTTGTTGTACATGTTTCTTTCAGCATTTTTAAAAATATACTTGCTTGTCTTTTTCGTTTCAAATAGAAATTTGTTTCTTCGTGCTCGCTACTCTTTATCAAGATACTGCCGATGAATTTCAAGTCGAAAGATTGTGATCGACTAAGAGGAACAGGGTGAAGATAGGTGTGGATGTGAGGTGTAGGATGTGGAGTGAGCGTGGCTTGGATACGATTGAATAGAAGACAACAATACCCACACTTTGTCTATGGTATTTAAGCAACTACTTCTAAGAAACAAAAGAATTAGATTTATACAGATACATTTAAATAGAAGAAAGAGATTCAAGATATTCTATCAATTGATGATAGTCCTCAAAGCGATTTTTTTCCGAATTAAGACAATTTTCTATAATAACGATGAAGTATGCTTTTTGCTCTTGTCTTGGGACATCATTTGCAGTGATTTGACATGTTTCAAATTCATTTCGAGAAATATAAAATTGTGTATGTGCTTTATCAAATGACTCACTTGCGCTCTTAACATCGAAATAACATGTCTTGATTGTCGATCCTGTTCCTCGTACAAATTGTTCCTGTGTATCATGTAATTTAAAATCACAACCCACCAAATCATACACTTTACGTGTATGTTGTGGATAAACGGCGAGACGTGATGATGGACGCCAATTTTTAGTCGGTGTTTACATCAACTGCACTGTAGAGTTTTTGTAGATAGACAAAGAAGAAATGTTCGGCATTGTAATCAATGCAAATTTGTTCAGTACTATCGACAATCGTTGGATTCATTCAATTACTTGATGATCTTTGATTTTGGCAAAGATGATTTTGTATTTGGGCTCGATTTCAATAGATTCGATCTGCAACAATGGTAGCAAATGTATTCTCTTCAGGATCATGTTCAACAGTGCAACATCGTCCTATGGAAATAGCCATCGACTCGATCGAGTGATGATCAGTAGGAAAAACGAGATTCAAATATGAATAAAAGATAGGATCTATATTAGCTACAGGTGAGATGAGTTCAGATCGAAATGCATTACATTCACTAAACTTTTGTCGAATATTCAAAAAGGATAATCAATTTTCATGATGTATCTATTGATTTGCTCATTATTGTCATCATTAATGGAATCAATAACAAACGTATTACAGAGGTATAAATTCGTAGTTACATATCTTGCAATGATTACTTCGAGCTGTCTATCATCTAGAGCATTCTGAAAGGTTTGTGTCTAGTGATCAAGATGCAATTTCAAATTATGATTTTTATGTATCCATTCAACTTTTTCTCGCTGCTCGACGTAATCTACTTTGAATGCAGTGAAAACCAATAAACATGTTCGAGCAATGACTGGTGAAATAAAATAACGCTTACCAATATCTGTCGATAAGTTTTGAATGACTTTCGTTTCTAAATATGGATCTATGGAGAGATCATTTGTAATTTATGATATTTACAAACTAATGAAATAGCTTGACGATGTTGATCATTATCAGACATAACGAAGAGATCTTCTAATGAATGGAATTGCTGTTGATCTGGAAGATATAACGAACACACTGAGAGTAAACTATCTGGACTGATCGTATTGTATTGCTGATGAATGTTCAAATGTAAACGACTTAACCATTGAATGTATCGATCAAAAATTGGTATTCTTTTCATCGCTTAACAATTGCAGAATTGTCACACATATGTGTAGATCATACTCAGCACAAACACCGAATTTGCTGGCTAATGAACGACAATAAGATGGAACAGTGATGCGAGGTAATGACGATAAATTAGTAACCATAGTTTCATCGAAACTGGCTGAAATTGGCCTAATCTGTTGTTCAATATTGCATTCACTCACAATAAGAAATTGACGAAGACATTCTCGAGTTGTCTATGTTTGAGCCAAGAGGATTGATTCATCCAATCGAGTCCATATTTCATCTGTCAGCATAGTAAACGGTGGTAAAGGATGTAATTGATCGATTGTATAATCTTGAGAAAATTAAATAGATAGATGGTCGTTGACAAATCATTTCAAGAAAAAAATATTCTCATTGAAGATCATTGATCAGATGACTTTCGTGTGTGCCGTAATAAGGATGATGAACAACAGGTGATATTACTGGTAGCATGAATGAACGAATGTGGGTGTGGGGTGCGGGCGTGGTTGAACGGAAGATCGAAACCCACATCCACATTCCAGACCCCATAGCCACCCACACACACCCACAAGATGTTTTTGACGAGTTCATATAAAAATTACAAATTTATTTCACTAGTGTCTCTCTTTTTTCTCATCTCGTTTTACTTGCCAATATGCGATAGATAAATATAAATCATACATTGTTCGAAAGAGAGGAAGATTTTCCATCCACTTCTTTTCAGGATCTATTTATCGAAGAGATGTAACGATCGACATGTAGTATGGTCCTTTTATAGAAAAAGTGTGGATACTTTTTAAGGATGCTTCTTTTTTTCTGTTACCTCGTTTCGTCTGTGAACGTATTATAAAAATAAGTTATATGTGATTCGAAAGAGAAGAAAAAGCTCTATGTTTTGGTTAAATAAGTTTTCTTTCAGCACCTTTGCAACAAAGAGAAATGGAGTTGACATTTGTGTCACTAGCTTTGCGTTGTACGTTATTTGATAAAACACGATCGATTATAAGATATAGAATTATTTTATTCTTTTGATATGAAATAAATTTCTTGCTCCGTCTATTTAAGATAAAAACAAAATTTTTAATCATAAATTGAGAAGACTTAGTAAAGAAAATATAAATGTAATCGACCTCATAATTGACGTTGAAGACTAATCAATAATAAAATTGTAATTTTTTTTCTTGTTAATTTTTATATAAATAGAACTTTGATTTATATTATAATTAGCTTGATAAAAATCGGAAAAATCTATTGGAAGAGAAAAATAGAAAAAGTAAATATTTATTTTTTTTAAAGTTTAAATCTTTATTATACAGTGATAGAGGTCGATCAAGACTAAATTTACTATTAAAAACGAAATGAGCTGAAAATTTAGTTTTACTAGTATATGATATTGTTCTTTTAAATGGACACAAAAAAATCAAAAATTTGAATTTTGACGAGTGCTTTGTATATTGAGGTCATTCTCGGTCGTCTCGTAGAGGCTTACGTAAATTGTCGTCGATTTTAAAATAAAACATGTAGACAACATTAATGCCAAGCAATAATTAGAACATGATTTGTTTTCTCAAAAAACATGGTGACTTCATATAACAAATTACTTTCTCCGTCTATTCATCTATTAATTACTTTTGTTAACTCCCATAATGAGTGTACAACAATATAATGCGAATACAGGTCTAATTATCAACGGTAAAAGGCTTGAAAATCACGCTATCGAGACGAAAGTCATTAATTTCTCTTTTTTCCCGACGACGGTGAAAGACGAGGTCTTTTAACAAAACATTCGTGGCATAAAAGCAGTGCGAGATTCAAGATATGAATCCCTCGAAGGATCTACATTCATCAAGCTATCTTGTTCGAGAAACATTTATTGTTCCTAAAGACGATCAAGATATTAATTTAGTTCCTGAACGAAAAAATGTACAACAAAAAAGAAGTATGTCAATAGTTTCTTTGCCACATGATCAAAACACAACAAGCAGGTAAAATATAATCATATTTTTCTTGAATCTTGAGAATTTTGATAGATGCTGAATATCTTATTCAAGTTTTATATAAATTAAAATTTTCTGAAGAAGAATGTATTTCTCGTTTTAGTGCTTCATTTGAAAATCAAGTGGATTCTTCTAGTCAACAGAGAAATTCTGAATCGCTTTGGAAGTAAGTATAGAGAATTTATACTCTATGTTGATCCTCTTGTCCAATATGTCATATCATTTCGTTTATGACCTCATTGGAAAATAATGTTAATATCTGCATCATATATTACTTCATATCTAGATGTAGATAAGATGAAAAATTTATCTATCAACTTATTATCATTCGAGTGATAAAAGAATTTTCAAAGATATGATGAAACGTTTGAATCGCTTTTAATTTTTATTCTAATAATCATGAAATAAGACTTTATTTACATTAAAAGAAATCATGTGAGATTCTATTCGTAATTTTTTGTTCACTAGTCAAATATACCGTTCTTGTTGTTATTGTTAACAGAACATATCAATTGTAATCGAAGTTGCAGCATATAAGAATTTTGAATTTAGATTAGATTCTTCTTTCAAAAAGAAAAATGCATAGTAATTCGATGAAAGACGTTGAATATAACAAAAACAAAAAAGAATAAAAGTCGTCATTCTACATCTCACTTCATAAAAATTATATTATTATTCGTTTTATTAATCAATCATAGATTATGAAAAGTTGAATAGAAAAATTTTCTTTAAGAGTAGTAATATATTAAAAGAAAAATATGTCACGATGATTAGAAGAATATGTGGATGTAATTTACCATAAGTAGTCAAGTAAATACAACAACTTTTTTATGCAGTTTTCCAAACGTAAAACTCAAATTTTCGAGTTCTTTGTTGCAGCATTTTCAACTACCAAAGAAATTACATAGCCATTTTATAGCGGGTTACGTCGATTTCAGCCGAAATGTTGGATCCGATCCGAAATTCTGATGTTCATTTGATCTGGACCAAACAATCACTGGAGTTTTGGACCGAGAGCCTCAAGTCCGTTGGCGGAAACTCCAGTCTTCCTTTTGTAGTACTTGAAAAACTCTATCTTTGACTTGTGTGAAAACAATTTTTGTGTCGATGCCTGCCGTAAAGAGTGCAGGGATGTTCATCGCGAAGTGTAGATGTGTGTGCGTTTCAGTGTTTTCTTTTGGCCCACACCCTCGAGTTGACCGAAAAAGGTGAAGTTCTATATGAATATTGTAACGAAAAAGCCGATATCCCATCTAAAAAGCTTTTTAGTACCTGGAGAGGTGCAGGTATGGATGTAAGGTGTGTGTAGGTGTGGGTACTTTTTGATAGAAGATCCACAATCACATTCATACCCTTCGCGTATTTTCGAGTCAGATTTACAATAAACGGTCATTTTTTGCAACATAATGGTTTATTGAAACCGATGCTACTATACATCATGAGTAAGAGCACACTTAAAATTCTACTTCAAAATTTATTCTGATGTGTTATCATATTTCTATAGAATGACGAAAGGATAACTTGAATTATTCAAGAAAAATAGCTTTGAAAATTGAAACTTTGCAGTATTATTCGTTCAATTTTTCTCCTTTAAGACTTGGAAGAAAATTTATGATACTATATTGTAAAGAATTGAATGGCGCATCGTTTCAGATGACGCTCAAGTCCGAGCAAAGAAAATTAACTGAGATTAAAAAAAACAACAACATTCAGAGAGCCATTTATTCTGCTGTACCCATTATTCAATAATAATTGCTTAAACTATCTTTTGACATATGTTTTATTTTTTTGCATCATATTTTGTCCTGTAAACTACTATGATAGTTATTAATAAAAGAAATTAATATTCTAAATTGATTTTGCAGGATTTATTGATCTATGTATGAATTAAAAGAGAAAAATTCTGTCTATCTATCAAAATAAATCGACAAAACGGAGAAAAGAAGCTCTAGGTTTTTTTTTAATATTATTTCTTAACTAGGACATGGAAATATCGTCTAGCATTAGCAAGAACAACTCAAGAAAGATCCGAAGCTTTGAAATTTTTGAGTTCATACAAAGACAAATCAAATAGTTGTCATCATTTACCGACATTCAACGAGCTACAAACTGAACACGATAATCATGATTCTAAAGATGCACGTAGTGTTTCACAATTACAGGTAATATTATATTATTCTTTCATCTTCGAATAAGTGTTGATACGTCCTTCATTTTGGTGTTCTTTTCGTATGAAAGAGTACATGAGAAAATTCAAAGAAAAGCTATAGCAATAGTGCTATTTTTGATAATAGAATGTCATTGCAGATTTGTAGTAGTTCTTAATTTACAAATTCAAAAACTATGTTTAGGATTTATTATCCGATTTAAAATTTTCAGAGTCTCAGTCTTTTTCACAATATCAAAAGATAAGAGAAATAGATTATCTTTTTATTCTTTGATTTTCTGCTTGAATTTTTCTATGGTTTCTATATGAAGATTTTAGTCAATAGAAATTGAAGTTCATGTTCTCGTTCGACTACATCACCTCATCGAGAAATACGCAAAACATAACAATTTAATTTATTATTATGTATAAAAAGTCCTCAACAACATCTTGATTTTCAAAAGTTTTGAGATACTTATAACATACACAGTTTTGATTATTTTGCTTTTTTCAAAGGTCGACAAGATTGAAAGTGATCCAAGTTTTCAAAAAAACCAAATTCGTATTTCTCGAAAGAGCAAGTCAGTAAAAAAAGATAAAAACGTCATAAAAGTAAAAGAACAGTTAAACTTATCAGAAGATACAAATCAAAAAGCATTGTCTTTGGAAGAGAAACTTGCAAACAATCGTGAATTGAATATAATAGGCATCATGAATCTATCTTCAATGAATTTGACTGATAACGATATGCTATTGGTTATAGAGAAAATTTTCGGAAAACACAAAACAAAATGTACTGGATTTATCTTCCGTGATAACGCTCTGACATCGATTGGCATGAAAATGTTTGTCGACGCAATACTTGCGACACGAATGAAGTTAAAATATCTTAATCTCTCGAATAATTTGAATATTGGAGACGCTGGAATTGAACATGTAGTGTATTTATTTAAAAAAAGTCGATCGATAAATTTTCTAGCATTATCCAATACGGGTATTACTGATCGAGGTGTTCGATTACTAGCTGATTTACTTTGTGATGTTGATGCTGATACTGATTCATGTTGTTCATCTCTCGAAAAACTTTATTTATCTTTCAATACGTCGATTACTGATGAATCAATGGAAGCTCTTCTTCAAATAATTGAACAAAATCGAACTTTGAAGTTACTCTCTGTACAATACTGCAGTTTATCTGATCAAGCTCGACAATTATTGAGAGAAACAGGTAGAAAAAAGAAGAAGAAAAAATTCAGTCTGTCAGAGTAAAACGAAAAAACCTAATACGAACTAACTTTCTTTGTATGTTGTTTTTTAAGTCAATTTTCAACATGAAATATATCGTTGTACTATTTCTTCTTGTTTTTATTTGTATTTGTTTCTTTCTTATCTATGTTTTGTCTTCATTGTCTAAATCTTTTAATTGATCGCGCGCTTATTGGGTGTGAGTATAGGTAGACATGCATCAAACTCAAACCCAAACCATTCGAGAGTTTGGATTTGTCACATGAAACTCACCAAATCATTTGACTTTGGCTACAAGACCATTTCTGTGAAGTCACTTTTGTATATATACAATGGTGTTTTTCATATAAATATAACCAAAGGTATATTTCTATGTTTCATATTGTCAAACATCAAAATGAAGTTATTCTTAATCTTAATAGGATAAGCTTGCAGGACGGAAATTTCTGATTGATTTATCTAAAATTTGATAAGTTGAAAATTGAAACAACCTTTTTCAGTCGCAGAAACGATGTGAGAGTAAATAAAATATGTATGAAAAAGTTTTTATCGACTACATTAGTAAGTGTAGCTTATGATATATATCAGAGATGTGAGTGTCAACGCATGGACGAAAATAAGAAACAAAAGAAATGCGGTAGAGAAGATAAAGGTAATATCACGAGAAAAGAAGAGAAAGAAGTGTCATGTCACCGCATAGGATATGTGTTTATGTATATGTAGAGAATGCAAAACAAAACGGCGAGAGAAAGATGAACACAGAAGGCAAAGAGAAGAATTTATGATGGATGAAAAATGAAAGAGTAGTTACGACTGCTATAATGGCACTGACATGAAACGAAAGAGTCGAACGTCTTCTTCATGTTACTAGTTGAAGATAGAAGAAAAGCATCCGAAAAGAAAAAGGATGGAGTGTGGGTATGGGTGTGGGAATACTCTGTTTGAAAAGGCGCTCGTACAAATCCACACCCACACCCTCACGCCACCCAAAAACATCATGCCATTAATGAAAACATATTTCAATGTCATCTGAAGTACTACAATTCTCTTCATCATCAATTCTTGATCCCTTAAGCATAGTATATGTC